CCATAGATCTATAAAACCAATATAAAAATCTTCGTCAAATGTGAGTGCTGCAAAAGAAGAAGAATGCTCTGTTTCTGGACTAAACTAACAGAGGAGTAGAAAAGAAAGAAGAAGAAGAAGATAGATTAAGAATACCAAACGACTGCTTAAGAATTTTCAAAGGCACTAACATCTCTTTGAGTAATCAAGCTAGGAAGGTTCAAAATCGAATATCAGATTAATGTATCATGTATAAAATGTAATGTATCTTACTTAACGATTAATGTATCAGATAAGTGTATCATGTATAAAATGTAATGTATCTTATTTAACGATTAATGTATGTCGTGCATCAGAGTAATGTATCAACACTTATATTTTTGTATCAGTTTGAGAGATTTATGTAATTATAAACTTATAAGCGACAAATGGTAATTTTTCCTTAAAAGTATGTGATTTGTGTCCTTTGCTTTTTTATTATGTTTATACCATTTTGTATATAAAGTTCTTGACTTAGAGTTTGATTTCCTACTTTTATTTTTGGTTGAACAAAATGTAACTTGTGAACTCATGTGCATAGTTTATTTGGTTTGTCACCTTGTTTCTTAGTGATTTTCAATGATTTTTTTGTGTCAAATCTTAAAGATTAAAACGTAACTGAACCGAACCGATAAACCAATAACATAAAAATCAATATCTTAATGATTCTATAACGGTTTAGCATCTCTACAAACCGATAAGCAATAAATCAAATCGATAAACTTTAAAACCGAACTGGGCGATACACAACCCTAAAAACCATTAACATTATAGATTAATTTAAATAAAGTCTAATTCTATATATGTACCCTTTGTACTAATTATGATTAATGAATGTATCTATTATCACTTCAATTTATTGCTTAAACATGATAAATTAATGTGATATTATGCACACACTCCATGCACAACATGTCTTTTCTTTTTCTCTTTAGTCATTTTTAGATAATACTATTAATATTTGAATAAGTGTGTTGCATGTGTGTTTCAGGAGAATTTTCATAAATTTGTTAGAATAATTAAAATTTTATGAAAATATACATGTAACGAATAATAAAATGCAATAATTACCAACATATCTTTGAATATGGAAAATAGTATCAACTAAGGAGCATATCTTAATGTTTAAAATCAAGTTCTTTTAAGCAACCAACGATAAGTTTTGAATTTTGGTTAGTAATTAACAAACTTTCAATAAAGTTACAAATAACTAATCAATCAGAAATTTATAAAAAGTTAAATTTAAAAAGTTTAATAGATAAAAATACAAAATAAAATAAAATAATACAATGTACTCATCTTTCTTAAAACTTTAATCATACAATATATATAGATGTAAGCAAAAATACATAAATAGTACATAATTTTCCAACTTCTCGTTGACTGCTTCTATCACAACCAATAAAAATTCAAGATCCTTCTTTGTTGAGTCCAACTAAAGTATGAATCAATAAAAAAAAATATAAATGTTTCACCACTTTAACTATAGAATGAAAATAATACCTAAGGGTTTGTGAAAAAAACAAGATAATTTATATTAATGAAGCAAAGAAATAAGGGGGTTTAGGGTATTAAGATTTAGGGTTGTAGTTATTTCTAAGTGTTAATGCAATCAAGAAATAAGGGTTTCAATTATTGAAATTTAGAGCTTGTTTATATTCCAACATGTAAAGTTACTAAAAAATTTGTTATTCATTTAATGCATTAAGATGAATGTATGTTACTTCATGAAAACGTTGATGACTTTCTAATTCACCATCCTCTACTATGATGTGAACGTTATGAAAATGAAAAAACGTGAATTATGGAATTAATCTTTTGAATAAAGGAATTAGAAATAAGAAATACTTTAAAGTAGATTATTAAAATGCTCTGTCTCTCTCTCTCACTATCTATCTATCTATCAATCTATCTATTTATCTATCTATCTCTCTCTCTCTCTCTCTCTCTATATATATATATATATATATATATATATATATATATATTAAGTAAAATTGAAGGAGAAAAATAAAAATAAATACACTTTTGAATTAAAAAAATGTAAATAATAAATTTTTGTAAAAGAATAAGAATGTCAACAATTTCTTATGCATATTTTCATCTTTTAATTTTCGACTTAACACCTTTTCACTTCAACAACAACAACAACAATAATAATAATAATAATAATAATAATAATAATAATAATAAAAACAACTATTATTTAATTGATTAACTATTTTATATATTTTTACTAAGTATATTTCAATTTTTAACTTTTTTGTTTCCGCTTTTAGTAATATATGATAGATGTTAATAAAGAAAAAATAAACCTAGTGAATATAACTTAGTGAATATTCTAATATTACCTCTCAAATGGATATATCCATATTGTTTGAACTAGACCTCCGAAGAGGGGCTCTTGTACAAGGTGAATTGGAAAATGCTCTATCACATCAAAGAAACCACATGAAAAGATCTTCTCTAACTTAGTAGTAATAACATGAATATTTTCTTTCATCTTGTCTTAACTATTATCCAACAACTTGCCAGAAACAAATCTTTAGAGAAAAGACTTATCACTGTGATTGATTTTCACATCCTTTCGGATAGATGACTAAAAGTGATAGAAATTAAAGTTTTTAACGTAATATAAGCAAATTCGAACCATTTTTTTAATATTTGTTTCTTGATTTAAAATCTAACAAAGATCTATCTGATTAGAAAATAAGTAAAATGTTCGATGGTCTTACAAGCAAAGAAAACACGAGATACAAAAAATAGAAAAAACAAATTATTTCAAGAAACAATCAATTGCAAATACTTATCCGCCACACTAATTAATCATGTGTCAAATACTTAACCTTGAATAAGGAGTCAATATTAGCTCCTCGGACACTAACAAGACTACTTAATTGTAGAGCTGTCCATATGGGTTGACCCACCCATCTGGGCTAATCCATATAGACTTTGAAAATTTACGGGTCAAGTTGGGTTAGCCCATATTTGGTGTGGGTCAGAAAATAATTGGCTCAACCCACAAGTACGTGGGATGTCCGGATCGACCCTCTTTTCTTTGAAATATTAACCTAATTGTTTTTCAATGATCATAAAAAACACAAAAATTATGACAATATTCCATAGGTTACGACCTATTTATTGATTCCCTAGAAATTTTAGGTAGTTTTTGTTTTATGTATTACATATGTTATTATAAACATAATTTCCATTTAAATTGTAATACTCCGAACTTTAAACAGATTTTGAGTTAAAACTCTTGTTATTTTTTTATACTCTATTTGATTTTTAATTTTAATTAGTATTTATTTGGTCCATGAGCTGACCCTATCTATATTTTTCAAGCCCCACAAATTCACAAACTTATTCAGGCTGGGCTAAAAACTAGTTAGGTCAGACCGACCCAATGGACCTAGCCCATATTGACGGCTTTACTTAATTGACTATCTCTAATTCAATTAAAAGCATTAAGAGCACATGGATATAGCTATACAAGTAATTCTTCATTTCTAGCTCAAATGGCCAAAATATTCTTATTTTGAGAAACACTTATATTAAAATCAGTTTTTTAAAAAATAATAATTTATGTTTAGCTAATTATTTGAAAAGTATTTTTAAGCACTTTGATAAGAGATTGTGTCCAACCTTCTCATGTGCTTAGCCCCTGGAAATAAAGAAAATGGTGTGAGGTTATTATATGATTGAATAAAGGGTACATACAGAGTTCAACAAAAATTTTGTTAAATATGAGATTGATAGTTAATAATGACCCCATATTAAAAGAGGTTGACAAGAAGGTAGTTTTGGTCATACATATATCTAGAGTTTGGATTTAATTTCTCTTCTTCTTTTGATTTTTCAATTTTTTTCATTCAAGTAGTAAATCCTGTTCTAAGTTTTGTATAAAATTTTTGTTATCAATAAAAAATTGAAAGCTATTAACCCGTTGAGGTTTTATTCATAACTTATGTCCTCTTACAAAGTACAAAGTTTCATAATTTCAAATATTAATACAAAGTGACAATATAGTATGAAAAAAAAATTTTAGTTTAACCCATTAAACATGACTAACCCCTTAAGAGTAAAGGGTTGGGCTAACTAGTATTTTCTCTTAAAACCCCAACCTCTAAATCAGACCTAAAGGTAAACCAATCTGACTTAGAATCGGAACGGTTAATATTGACCTTTAAGAGGCAAGATATGTGCTAGCTAGTATTTTTTGAAGGCCTTACTTAATTAAGCATATTTCTATATTTTATATGTAATATTTTCTTGTTAATTTACATTACATAACTTTATTGACAAATCAACAAGTTTCCACCTAAAAAAATTATTACTGGATTCGATGACCATTTATCACATACTTATATTATGAGTTGCATCTCAAGAAAATATTGTTGAATCATTAACAAACTTGACATGTAAAGAGAGAATCAATGAATTACCTCTTCCTTTTCTTTTCTTTTCTTTTCCTTTTAAGTATAAATCAAAATTAACACACACAATTACTTGGTAAAATCATAGATGTGTACAAGCCCATTACTTGGAGATACATTAAGTGAGAAAGTTTGACTTTACATATGGGATTGTTTGGGGGGAAACTTTAAATGGAGGACTTGAATAGATAAAGAGGAAAATACATATGGGATTGTTTGGCAAGCAAAATGAAATGACAATATTGTCCATTACATACATATATACAATACCTCATTAACTCTAGGTTTTATCAATTTGAAAATCTGTCTTGAATCCATCGCCTCTCATCTTAAGGGTAAAACTGGTAAAAATGTTCCTCATTACCTCATTGAACATATCTCTATTGTCTCTTGAAATATAAAGGACAATTAGAAAATTGGAGGCCCAAATTTGTCCTTATGTTCTTCTAAACTAAATTTTATTTGACTAAAAAATTGTCTTTATTACTTCAATTGTTGTCTTACCAACTAAGTACACTTCAAGGGAACAATACATTTGTAATAAAATCCTACTGCTAGTTTTATATGTCTTCTTCAGAAAGTTGATACACTCTAGAGAGGAGAAAAGTGGAAGAAAAAATATGAGTAGCTCTGCTTCATCACCTTTTGAAACAAATGAGCAGGTACATACATATATATATGTGTAGTATTAGTAATTTTCAATTACTATTTCTTTGGTTTAATTCATTCAAAATTGATTGTTTATTTCTCTGTTTTTTGTTTGAGATCTAATTCTTACCATTTTGTTTATGCATTTGTATCTAAAAAAGGAAATAGAAAATTATTTTTTCCTTTGATTGTTGATAAAATTTCATGAGGCTGACTATATGTTTGATAACCTCTTAATTGATTTTATATAAAAGAGGGCGAATTTTCAAGAAATTGAATTTAGATCTACTATATGAAGTGGGTCTATGAAAGAACTTACTTCGAATGAAGAAACTTAAATTATTAGTTCCTTATGTTTTGATTGACAAATTTATTAGCCCTATTTGTAAATTACCCCTATTCCTATTAGGGAGGTCAGGCAATAAAAGACTTGATGAACCGTCCAAATTTCTGATATCAAATAAAAGCTTACTCAAGTCTCATAGTCATTCATTTATTTAGTACTTCCATATGAATGACTAAATAAAAAGAATTAAGCTCACACGTCGTAAAAATTTTGTTTGAGTCTTATAATCATTAATTTGTTCAGCCAATGTCACCTCTTTCAAGTTTTGTGAGGTGAGTGACCCTAGCTCTATACAACTTTCCTCCCTTGTATAATTGGTGTGCATCATTAAGGGTGTGATCATACAGATTTTTTTTTCATAATTCTTAACCAATATCTCATATGAACCTTGTAAATGGAGAAAGATTGTTAAGGAAATTTTCCCCTCTATTGAATCTATGTGTCCCAAATCTAAATTAGTGTGTTTTGAATGTACCTAATGTCTCTCTAAAAAACGGTCTGTCACAAAAGCTATAGGTGATGTGGTTTCTCTCTGTGATGGAAAGATAATAGATTGGGTTTAAACAAATTCCATGAGTAATAGGATCACTCGATGTGCAAGATAAGATGAAATATCTCATGCTTAAGTTTGAGATTATTTTGAAAGTAGTTTATTCCAAATTCCATATTGGATAAATTAGTTTAAGAATTATAATCAAAATTATATTCTCGAGATAATTTAGTCTGCATATCAAAAGATCTTTTTAAGTCACACAGACAACATATTAAGGAGAAAGTGGACCAAAAATATATATATGATTTGGTTCATGTTTTTTGTTCTTTAAAAATCATTGACATGGATAATGTCATCAATTCAGAATTTTATGAAAGTGTTTCTCTTTTCTGTTACACTACAAGTTTATCATCAATCAATAGTATCCTACGAAAATCTTAATATACATTTTTTTTATTATAGATAAAATGTAGGTAGATGTTCTTAGAACTTCAACTAGAAAGAAGTGAAGTCTTTATTTCTCCTAAAACTTAAACTCTAAACTAGCTAAGTCCCATCAATTGATTGGATTTGGTTCATTCCTAAACAAACCTTAGTAGATTTTTAAGTCTTTAAAGTTCATTAATCTTCATTAAACAATTAAACAATTGTTGGATGAGACGCTTGATAGATACTTAGCTTGATAATATGTTATTTTATTCATAGTTCTTTGATATGTGTATGTTTGATGATAATATCGTTTCAAGTAAAATTTACTGTTCAAAATAATGAGAAAGATTGTTCAAGAGATAATTCGCTTAATAAATATTTTTAATGTTCTTCATAATTCTTTTTGATATATGTATATTTGATGATGATATCGTTCAAGTAAATTACTGTTCAAATAATGAGAAAGACTATTTCAAAAGATAATTAGCTTGATAGGTATTTTTTATTTTCTTGTACTATGTATTTTTTATGATAATATTACTTTACTATATTTTAAAAAGTGAGTAAAACCTTTTGCAATCCAAGCAGATCACTTGAAAATATCATAATCTCTTATTGTAATGATTTTTGCAGCGAGAATTGAAACCTGGAAGGAGTATGCCAACATGGCTAGGACCACTTTTGAAGAAGACTTTCTTTGGGGAATGTTTGGTGCATGATGGACTTCAAAAGAATGAAAGGAGCAAGTACTGTATCACATGTGATTCCGATTTATGCAAGTATTGCATCTCTACAAAAAAACACAATGATCATGACCAGCTAAAGATTTATCGACATGTTTACAAAGACGTCGTTTCTCTCGAGCAGATGAAGAAGTATATTGACTCCAAACTAATTCAGGTAAATTTAAATTGATATAGACAGTTACAATTAGAAATGAAAGAAGATTACATATATTGGTTATGAATTGATGCTCCGGACATTAATTTATTTAAACATTTGAATGATAAGTAAATATAAGTTAATGAGATGTTAATCAGTTGTTATTATTTTGGATGTTGTTGTAAAAGTTTTGTTTATTAATATAAAAGTTAAGATTTTTAATTCAAAGTTGTAAAATATTTATGATAAAAGCGAATAGTTTTTTATACATACATACATGCATAAAATATGTACTTTTTATTATAATCATTTATTTTAAGTGATAATAAATACGTAAAATGATTACTAATTTTTTGGGAGCCTTTTGTCTAAAAGCAAGTGTTTTACTAGCTCTTTTCTTGAGCCATCTCTATTTGGATCCACTAATTAAGTCATATTGTATTTGGAATTGAGCTTGAACAAAATGACTAAAGTATATTCTTTTTCTCTTAGAACTTAAGATCCATAAGGTTGATTTTCTTGAGTTTGCCTAAAGTTCGTGTACTTATAGATGAGGTTCAACTATTTTTTGTTGAACTTAAGTCATATATAAATTCAGACATTTTTATTTCACACATGTATATATAGTCTTACAACAAAGATTTATTGTTTTCTTTTTTACATAATTAACATCTATATGTTAGTGATGAGATATATATAATTTTCTATGTGCAGACATACAAATGCAACAAGAAATGTATAATTGCTTTGAATCCTCTGCCACATTCTGGGTCTGGCTCTTTAATTGCTGGAGATCCTACTTGTCTCACTTGCAAAAGGAGATTGCATGACCCTGAACGGTTTCAATTCTGTAGGATTGCTTGCCCGGTACTTTTCTCTCCCTCCGTTTCAAATTTAGTGGTTGTTTGGCGATGATTTTTATTTTATTATTTTACATTTTTTTGAAATTGAATTCTGGAAACTATGCTTGATTAAAAACAGTCTCTTTACTTTTACGAGGTAGTGTGTAAGGTTGAGTACTTTCTACTCTCTCTAGGCCTTAGTTGTTAAATTTCACTAGATATGTTATTGTTGTTGTTGTATAATCCTAAATAGAATGTGGAAATTGAAAAAACATACTCCCACTCTCATAATTTATGTGATATTGTTTGAATTGACATGAATTTTAAGAAAGAAAGAAAGACTTAAAGTGTTTGGTCCAAAATCTCTCATTAAAGCTAAAGTGAGTATTTTAAAACCAAATTATAAGTAAAGATATAACTGTACTAAATGTGATGAATCAATCTCAGTCCAACATGGAACGTGACATCACAGAATCAGGTATTAGGTAAACAAGAAGTAATAAGATCAAAAGACCTTCACAAAGGTTGAATTGAGATTCATACCCAAATAGCAACTAGTAAAAAGGAAGAGAAGTTGGAAATATAGATTAGACTTATTGTTGTATGAAAGTCTAGTTCTACCCAAATCTCTAGAGTGTGTTTGGTATGAATGAAAATATTTTTTGGAAAATATTTTCCAATTTTCTCATTTTTTGTTGAGTCAAAAGTATTGGAAAATGTTTTCCAAATCAACTCATTTTCCTCAAAATTAAGGAAAATGACTTCCCTTTAAAAATTAAGGAAAACATTTTCCAAAACTCTTCTCCAACTTCAAATTACATATTTTTTGGCAAAAAAATCAATTTTAAAAATATTTTCAATTTCAAAATAAATATTTTTCACCCAATCCCTGACCCCCCATTCCACTCACCCACCACTGACCAGCCCCCCACCCCTCCCAAAAAAATTTGAGGTCGTTTTTTAAAATATTTTTATTTTAAAACTCCTCCCTCCCTCCCTCCCCCCGCCAGCCCCCTACCAGCACCCCCTCCAAAAAAAAATTATTTTTAAAAAATATTTTAACTTCAAAATTTTATTTTTTCACCTAACTCTGCCACCCCCGGCAGCGCACCACCCCACCCACCCACCACACCCCCCCCCCAAAAAAATTATTTCTAAAAAATATTTTCAATTTCATAAATTATTTTCTACTCTAGTAAAAATAAAAATTCATAAATCAAACACTAAAAATTATTTCTAGAAAATATTTTCTACTCACCACCAAACATGAGAAAATGAATCCAAAATCTACTTGTTTTCTAGAAAAACATTTTCGAGGAAAACATTTTCCATGGAAAACATTTTCCTCATACCAAACACACCCCTAGTCTTACTTTTGATATTTCTATATGTTTGTTTGGGTTCTTTTATTACTGTTTTAGTTGTAACATCAACTTTTGAAATTGTAATTGAACTTTAGTTTTATTAATATAGTTGAGAAGTGGTTATTGTTATATTTTATTTGAGTTCTTTATACAAAATATAGGGGAAACCCCCTGTTTTTGAGACACATAAAAAAGTAATAAGACACTTAAATTGAGGTAGATAAAATATTATTATACATTTACACTGCCAATCCACATATATTTTTGTGAATAATATATATTATGATGGAATTTGTAGGTGGAAGAAAAATGGGGAAAGATTGCTGAGACGAAACGGAAGCGCAAGAGGAAGGGAATTCCTTGCAGAGCTCCTTTAAAATAAACATGCTTTGCTTTAATTTGATCATTTTAAAATACTTTGCTTGGATAATTTTAAACTGTGTGATTTTATGTTGCAACTAAAAAAATGTATGTAGTTTCAACTATTTTTGTTTTAATTTAGACTGTTAAACCTAGTTCTTGCATGTATTGTCATTGTGGTTAAAAGTATGTGTGGACGCATGATGTCTCTTTTAAAGAGCCTCTTATTTTTAATTATAAGGTAGTTTTCTTACTCGAGCTAAAAAAAAATTAAGTCTCCATCGAAGTTTTCAGTCTAATATCTTCATAGTGTTAGACTAGTTCATCTTCACGCTCTACATCTCAATTTAGTCAGCAGCAAGTTGAATCTAATCTTGTGCTCAAATATGATATCTAACTTTTAGAAAAAACTTATTTATATTATCCATTAAAATTTTGACTCAACTATGTCAATGTCATTTGAGAAAAGACCCATCGATTCCATTATATTTTAACTCTAATTCTTGCAGAACTATTTTTTAACCTCAAAAGTACCCCAAACTATTCAGTTCTAAAGAAATAAAGGTGTCATACGGAAGCTTACAATTGCAAATCGTGTTTGTGATAAATTAGATGACAAAAATTTATACTAAAAATATAATATTATTATATGGTTTGATCAATTGACCTACACATGAAAGCTAAGATAAACTCTATTCGGAGAATAATCTCCTCATAAACAAAAATGTTTAATGACTACATAGTAGATTCTATTATTTTGGTCTGGTACGAGAAGAGGAGTCTTTAATTTATAGAGTTCCAAACTTTTTTTCTAAGGAAAGAATAAACTAAATATGTAAGAAAATTATATTTTTCTTTTTAAAAAAGTAAAAGCAACTATGGTAGGCTTTCCTTCAAAATAAAAATAAAACTCAAATACGGTAAATACGAGTACATTTTATCGACTATTTGGTTTGCACAAGTAGACACTTGAACTTGTATGAATTTGAACAAAAGATACATTCATCCTACATAGAACCCTACATGGAAATTGTGTCCTATGTGGCGTACTATGTGTATTATGTCATGTAGGACACATGAGTCTATCTACTTGTTCAATTTTATACTTGTTTAAGTGTTAACTTGTGCACAATCAAAGTTGGAGGACATAGCTCTCCACTAAAGCCATGTTAAGGGTTATATTTATAAATTATGTTTTATTTAATGAAATCCATCAAGAGTAAAAGTTTTTCATTTCAAGAATCAGATAACAATTATTATTTTCTAGATATTTAGTTGCTCTAAGATTATGAACATTGAATAGCACTTAAATATCTATTCCAATCCTTGTAATAGAAATTTTCCATAGACATTAATTTTATATCAACCAACTTCAAAAGGTACTAACAAAATGTGAAATGCAATCAGGGAGCATATGTAAATCTTGTTCTACACACAAGGAAATAACATTAGTGCATTATAACACATAGTGAAACCAGAGAAATCCCATCATTCTTCATTGCAGCCCATGCAATCAGCAAGGAATTGATACGTTGTCCAAACATATAACTGTTAATAAAACACTTTTTACTTTATCAAGAACAAAAGTCTCTAATGTTCCACATGCAAGCTATCCCCATACATGATCTATGTTTAATATGTAGAAAAAACCACTTTGATTAGAAATCACAAGCCTGATTTAAGGAAAAAGATGAGATCTATTTCCCTCCTAGCGAAATTTGCGACATAGATACTCTTAAGAACTTTACTCAATGTAGCGTAATTTTCTTCTAGAAATGTTCTATGTTTGCAAGGAACCTTTGGTTATGTCAACATTATTGATAAAGTGAAAGAAAATTCAGCCTTTGGTTGTCTAGATATGTCAACATTTTTGACAAAGTGAAAGAAGATTCAGCCTTTGGTTTTATAGATATGCAAAACAAAGGGAATATATCCTAAAGAAAATATTCGATTAGATATTACCAACATGGAAACCACTAAATTTCGTCAAAGAAAAATAAGAAATTATCTATTAGCAACAAGGAACCAAAATTATAGATACTATCTTAGACCTTAACCATTGTTCCATAATAGTTGTGGTTCCTTCTTTTCCCCTCCTTGAAACACTTCTCAATTCTCAAGAATATAAATAATGTTAAGTGCATTTAGTTTATCATCATTCTTCGAGTCATTTTATTGTAATGATTGAGTTTGAAGCTGACTTGTCTTGGTGGGATAAGACGAGTGTCATCACGTCCATTTTTGGATCGTGACAAAATGGTATCAGATCCTAGGTTCATAGGTCTCACGTGTGTATAAATCGAGTCTAAGTAAAGTCTCAAGGATTGGCATGGAAACGCATGTACTTATCTTCGAGAGTATATAGTGACTTTTAATAAAAAAAACTACACTTCTTGAATCTCTATCGTGCATCCTTTGTCTGTTCAGATTGGTATCACTTCATTCCGTTCTCTCTCACTTATGTGATGACTCGTGCGTAGTTCCTAATGTGAGTAGTTGGTGTCATGCATGCCTTGGATGTTTAATATGGTACTAATGTTGAAGTGATATACTTGCAAGAAGATGTGTGGTCACGTTTAGAATGTTCAGTGATTCGAAGGAATTGTGTGAGGTTATGGTTTGATGATTCCCTTTGAGGATAAATAAATGATTGGTTTGAGCAATGGTTTAAGGGACTTCATGAGCGTCTTATGTTATTCTTATTTTATTGGCTAGTCATTTAGTAGTGGGATTAATACTTGTGTGGTATAGATAATATGTGGAGTAGTTTGACAATTGAGAGTGGAATGATTAAAAGGATGATTATATAATGAATAGTGTAACCTTGAAAAATACAGTTAGTAAAGGTTTCAGAAAATGAATGGGTGCTTAGAGAATGATGAGAGCAATGTTACATCAATTAAGTTTAGAATTTCTACTACGATTTTATATATTAAGTGTATAAAAAAAGGATAATGATACAATTATCACAATGGTACCAATTCTTACTTTGTTAAAGTTATGGATCTGATCTACGAAGGAATGGATAACACTTTGGATGAGACTAAGCAAATTTGGTAGTGCATTATAGTTACTTAATTGACAGAAATGTGTGGGCTATTTGTGTACAATCTTCTCGATAGGTATCATGTGTTCTAGTGGTGGATCCAACAAACTTTTGCATGTGGTACTTGTTAGGACCGAAATAAGCAGGTGTAAACGCGGAAGCTAGCAAAGCAAACCTCAAAAGACCACGAGAAAGAAGACAACAAGAAATATACCAAAAGACACAGAGATTTAACGTGGTTCGGTCAATCGACCTACGTCCACAAAGGATATGAGCAATCCACTATAAATATGAGAGTACAAAATACAGAGGGAAACAACCTCAACCAATTCTCTCAGAATACATGGGAGGTTCACACAAGTGATAACATATCAAGCTTGTGACCCATAAATTCTCCCCCTAACCAAAACTCTCAAAGCCCTTAAAACTACATCGTGAATGTTGATTAAGTTAAAAGGAACATGCCTCTATTTATAGAGTCCTAAACCTTTTCCTACCAAAAAAAGGATTAGTCAATTCAAAACCTTTTCCTAAAAGGAAAACCTATTTATGGTAAGAAATCAAGGCAAATAAAACCCAACAAATCTCCCCCTTGACCTGAATTTCTGACAAAATAAATTTGTCCACCTTCTTTACTTAATCTTCAACGACTTGCTTCTCCTCTGGATAATCTCCTTTGCAAAATTTGTGTCTCAACACAGAGAACCTCTCTGAAACAATTTCTCAAACAAAATCTTCATTACTGTCAAAAAGTTTGCAGCTAGATCTACACCCCGTCAAGTTGAACACATCTTTCTAACTTGGTTCAATCATCGTTTATCGAACCACAAAACATGACTACATTATTGAATCTGGCTCTGATACCACTTGTTAGGAACGAAATAAGCCGGTGTAAACGCGGAAGCTAGCAAAGCAAACCTCAAAAGACCACTAGAAAGAAGACAACGAGAAATATACCAATAGATACACTAATTTATCGTGGTTCGGTCAATCGACCTACGTCCACAAAGGAGATGAGCAATCCACTATAAATATGAGAGTACAAAATACAGAGGGAAACAAACTCAACCAATTCACTTAGAATACATGGGAGGTTCACACAAGTGATAACATATCAAGCTTGTGACCCATAAATTCTCCCCCTAACCAAAACTCTCAAAGCCCTTAAAACTACATCGTGAATGCTGATTAAGTTAAAAGGAACATGCCTCTATTTATAGAGTCCTAAACCTTTTCCTACCAAAAAAAGGATTAGTCAATTCAAAACCTTTTCCTAAAAGGAAAACCTATTTATGGTAAGAAATCAGGGCAAATAAAACCCAACAGTACTAGTGTCATATGAAAAAGAATACGTCGTTTGTAAGCGTGAATACTAACTACTCAAGAAGTTATCAATTGTAAAACATGATTATATAATAAAATTTGATATTGCATTCGTATTTGCATAACAAAATAGCTTGTTACTACGGAGGGATGGGTTAACCATTATTTATTAGGAAGCTTTTAGTGGTAAATCTTTGTAACAGTATTTATATGTTTAGGTTGTGAAGGATATCTTGAGGATTTTAAATAAGTGGTAATTTCTTTGTAAGCTTCAGAGTAATGGATTGATATCGGAATAAAAATCTTATGGATAAAGAAAATTTTCAAATAATTTACTGTGTGAAGACAATTAAGAATTATACAAAGGAAGTACATATAAAAAGTTAGGTATGTCCTTTGGATGGCTGGAATAGCAGGGTTTGAGGTGTCATGTTTATGAAAAGGTTGACTTCGTGGTGATGATCAACACTAACTAAGCATGACGCTGATAAGGATTTGTGATAGATTGTGATTGAAATGTAACTATATGA